TTGTACATAGATTAAGCAATAAGGTAAAATAGATCAACGAACATCCTTCAACTTTAAAACATATCATACATATTTATCTCCAATGACAGCAGCATACATCTCGTTGTTTGGCATATCAATCAGCATATGGAATTCATCAGGAAGATAGTCACCGCCATTATATATCTCCGATGGGGGAAATATAGCCATCACTTTCTCATAGTCTTCTTTTGTCACCCTTTTACATCTAACCAGGTTGTTGTCCATTGTGTTAACTTATATGTAGTATATATATACAGCAGTTATTAAGTTCTTATTTTGTATCTCTCAATGTCTGTCAAAACAAAAGTATAACACCAATGATTTATTCAAGACAATACATTGACTTCTGTGTTGACATAGTTTATCATTGATATGGTCATATTTATATATACTGTTTACAAAACTTTGAATTTTTCGAAACACTAAGGATCGTATACCCCAAGAATAGATTTGGCAAAACCTTTTAGAATTTTGGGTCCCCAATGCTTGTCAACTTCATTCTTTATTCATTGTCTTATTTGGCCGTTTAAGGTGGTACCTAACACTACAGGGAGATAACTCTGTAAAAATCTACTAAACGTTTTAATCACGTTATATTGGTAAGGAAATATTAAGCTTCTCTAAGATCAAAATTAGTGTTTGTCAAACTGCTATATAACCAGTGAAATTTTTCTGATAAAGTGGTTGGTTCAAATTATTTGAAATTTTTATATTTTTGTCAAAGGGTCAAAGTAAACATTTTGTCAAAATTTTAGGAAAATTAAACGAGCCAAATTAATATTAGTCAAGGTGTTGGGTACCACCTTAACATTTGTTATTCAAGCGTTACTGATGAGTCTTTTGTTGACGAAACTAAACTATGGCGTACAAATTATAAGATTGGTATCATAAATGAGGTGTTTTTTTAACAACAAAATCTAACGGTAATAAATTCCATGCAATAATTGAGGAAGGGAAAAAAGATCTAGAAAATGTGTCCAATCTACATCTCGGTACTCTATAGTGAGAACGGTTTCTAGTATTATAGTAAATAGTTAATAATCTATAATATCCAGTAGTTGAATGGTTAAAGATATTTCTTTTTGGTGTATCCATGGCAACAACCTGCATGTATTTCCTAAAACAATATTGCAAAAAGTAGAATTTCAATCCCCTGGAGTGATACCTTTTCTGAAAATGTTTACATGTACATTTATCTATCAAGAGATCAAATGAAAATCATTTGTCTTTCGTCTCATATTTGTGTAAAATTGCGTGTGAAAAAAGTGTTTGTAAACATTTGACTGTACGGTGACCAATAGTTGTTAATTTCGGCGTCATTTTGGGTCCTGTGGAGAGTTGTCTCATTGGCAATTATACTACATCTTCTTATTTTTATACTGCAAAACTTTCTGGACATACGGAAAATACAGACAATCAAACAGAAAATAGCCCATAAAACAGGTAAAAAATAATCTGTGGGTTCTTATAAACCCACTTTGAAGACTAAATTAGTCATCTGTTGTCTAATAATGTATTTTATTGCACTTAATATTTAAAAAATCCTCCGGGGCCAAAATGCAGGATCTCTTTCCCTGCCGGAACATCTGAGATCATCCCATGTTTTGTTGGGTTTGTTTTTCTAAGTTTTTAGTTTTTTATGTTGTGTTATGTGGACTGGTGTTTGTCTTCTCGTAGGGTTTCGTTTTTCGCAATGGCTGTGTCGGTTTGTCTTCTCGTAGGGTTTCGTTTTTCGCAATGGCTGTGTCGGTTTGTTTTTGATCTTTGAGCTTGATTATTCCTTTGGTATCTTTTGCCTCTCTTTTAAAATTGTACCCCTCCTTGCAAAAGTACAGACAAGTTGAAATTAAATAGTGACAATATATTTTTGCGAAATTATGAGATTAAATCAGATCTTCACGCACTTTTAGAGAATCGTGTAGCAGTCATGTGTACTCTTGTATGGCCGAGTAGAGATCGAAGAGTGGTCGAATGTGGTCAAGTAGAAATCGGGTATCGGTCGAGTTGGTCTGGGATAAAAAAATATATAGAAGTCGCATTGATCTGGAAGCGAGCGGGCATTGGTCGAGTTAATCTGGACCACGGATCAAACAGGTTGGCATTGATCGGGAAATGATCGAATATTAGTCGAGCAAAGGTCGAGATGATCGAGTACTGATCGGTAAAAATATTTGCATTCCGACCAAACTCGATCTCTACACGATCCTTTACCGATCAATTCGACCACTACTCGACGAATTCTCGATCTCTTCTCGAGTGACTGGCTTCTCGATCCTTACTCGAATTTTTTTTACATGTCAAAAATTCTCGGGTAGAAAGTCAGATCGATGACGACCAAGCTAGACAACCCCGAACATTCTAGTCGATTGAGTCAGACCAGTCTCCCGATCACTTAATCTGTCTTGATCGGGCTTGATCGAGTTAATCTGATCGGCAGTGTGAACCTAGCTTAATGGGAATTTATTCTTTAGATTAACGTATAAATCTGTGGGAAGGGGATGTAGGATTTTTCTTGAACAATTTCTATTCAACAGTGGTCGATTGTATAATTGAGCTTATCAGCGTGGTTGTTTTGTGTGTTGTTTTTATGGGACGATTTAAGGTAAGCGAGCGGCTGTGTAACATTAGTTTTAATTTGATGATTTATATTTTGGAGAACATGTTTTTAATCTACGAAAGCCCATTTAGGACCTCCTAAAAATATATATTTGAATTCGAAATCACGAATTTAAATCGTTATCACGAATTGAAGAATTCGTTATTACAGATTAAATTCGTAATAACGAATTTCCGGAATTAGTTATAACAGTTTTTGTAATTCGTTATAACGAATTAAATTCGTTATCACTATTTTTTGTAATTCGAGATAACGGATCAAAATCGTAATAACGAAATTTATAAATCGTGATTTCGAATTGTATAAATCGTTATAACGGATTGAATTCGTTATCACGAATTCGTAGAATTTGTTATCACATTTTTTTGGTAATTCGTGATAACGGATTAAAATCGTTATAATGAATTTCATAAATGGTTATAACGAATTAAATTCGTTATATCAAATTATACAATTTGTTATAACGATTTTAAACCGTTACCACGAATTACAATAATCTGTGATCACGAATTTAATCAGTAATCACGAATAACAAAAAAAAAAAAACTGTGATAACAATTTACACAAATTTGTGAGAACGATTTTAATCCGTAATGACGAATTATAAAGTTCGTTATCACGAATTACAAAAAAATGTGATAAGTCATTTAATCCGTTATTACGAATTACAAAAACTGTTATAACTTATTCCATAAATTCGTGATAACGAATTTAATCTGTGATAACGAATTCTAGAATTCGTGATAACAATTTTAATTCGTGATATCGAATTCAAATTATATTTTCTGGAGGTCCTAAATGGGCTTCCGTACTAATGCAGATAGCTATCAAAAGAACTTATTTGGTCTCGGTAGTTTTTCTTTATCCTGCAATCAGCCAACAATTGTACAAGTACACAAATAAATGGTTGCTTTATTTGTACTTGTATAAATACAGTCTCCTGTCACCCCGCTTTCCTGTTGAGCAAGCGGTAATGTGGATATTTCTTTTTGCGTAACAGTTCATTTTTGGGTCCTCTTTGCGGTCCGCGTTTAAACTATGTCGATTTCTTTGAAAAATTAGAGACAATGATCTAGATTTTTTAAACAACTAAAGTTTCAAGTTTTGGGTGTAAATTTCAGGATAAAAACAATATATGTACATTGTCGGAAAATATAAAATTTATTTGTACTCGCTACGAAACAGGAGAAAAGCTCGGCGAGCCTCGCTTTTCGTCCTGTTTCTAAAGTTCATACAAATAAATTTATATTTGCCGACAATGTTCATATATTGTATATTTATCTTCATTGTCGATCTGCAACTTACTAAAATTGGTTAAATTGTACGTCTGTTGTCTACCATTCCCCCGAATTATGGACTTCTGTGCTCTTATGAGGATTATTAAAAAAACGAAAGATAACTTCCCCGTTAAAATTCAAAAAGGAGCTCTACATTTACATTTTGTTTCAGGGTCACTGATAGCATTCGAAACCCACTTTTTTATATATTGACATCAGGAAATTTTATAGCACGCTGCTTTTGCTCATTACTTAAGGCTGTACGGTGACTTATATTTGCTACTTTGTACGTCATTTGGTATCTGTTGGGCAGTTTTTGCAAAGGCAATCATAACAGGTCTTCTTATTTTTATATGTTTTACAGATATATCACATGCTGTTTTTGGTTATTATTAACATTTGACACATTGTTCGTGTTATCAGTTGTATGCGTAACCAGATTCTACAACATTCATTATAACGACATTCACTTTTTAAAAACACGTAAGCGATAAAATTTGCATCATCAGCAATGGTTGTGGTAATCTGAATATGCACTGTATAAAATCAGGAAAAGTATACGATTTACAACTTCCATGTTTTCATCTTGACCTTTGTATAGTTAAACTATTGTAAACAAAACACATAATAAAGTAGTTTAAAATGCACTTGGTTATTCTAATATATTCCTTTTCTTCGTGCCTGAGGTGTTTGCGAACTATGTGTCGGTCATGCTTTTTAATAAACTGTTATAAATTGATAGCATATAAATAAAGGAAAGTTTTAAGAAAGCAGGATAAAAGCAGGGTACCTTTTCTTGTTTTTAAGATGTAAGCCATTGAATATTTGGCGGGAAATGATTTTTTTTCTGGATGTTTCATACATTTAAGATTGGCATCTGTTTCCTTTCCAAAACTATCAAATATTAACAAGGATTTAAAAAAAAAATAAAAAAATGTTTTTTTACTATATATTATGTAATAAAATTGTGAAAAGAAAAGTAGGTATAAGTGGGCAAAACATTTGATGACAATACCTTGTACATAGATTAAGCAATAAGGTAAAATAGATCAACGAACATCCTTAAACTTTAAAACATATCATACATATTTATCTCCAATGACAGCAGCATACATCTCGTTGTTTGGCATATCAATCAGCATATGGAATTCATCAGGAAGATAGTCACCGCCATTATATATCTCTGATGGGGGAAATATAGCCATCACTTTCTCATAGTCTTCTTTTGTCACCCTTTTACATCTAACCAGGTTGTTGTCCATTGTGTTAACTTATATGTAGTATATATACAGCAGTTATTAAATTCTTATTTTGTATCTCTCAATGTCTGTCAAAACAAAAGTATAACACCAATGATTTATTCAAGACAATACATTGACTTCTGTGTTGACATAGTTTATCATTGATATGGTCATATTTATATATACTGTTTACAAAACTTTGAATTTTTCGAACCACTAAGGATCGTATACCCCAAGAATAAATTTGGCAAAACCTTTTAGAATTTTGGGTCCCCAATGCTTTTCATCTTCATTCTTTATTCATTGTCTTATTTGGCCGTTTAACATTTGTTATTCAAGCGTTACTGATGAGTCTTTTGTTGACGAAACTTGACTATGGCGTACAAATTATAAGATTGGTATCATAAATGAGGTGTGTTTTTAACAACAAAATCTAACGGTAATAAATTCCATGCAATAATTGAGGAAGGGAAAAAAGATCTAGAAAATGTGTCCAATCTACATCTCGGTACTCTATAGTGAGAACGGTTTCTAGTATTATAGTAAATAGTTAATAATCGAGTTGTTCAATGTATGTATAGCTGAATACTACAACGCAAAAATAAGCATGCTATAGATGTCTTTTTATGGCATTATGGTAACATCCTGGCATAGGAGATGATTTTTTTTTTAATTTGGAAAGACGTTATTCCACAATAAGCTACACCGCTGTTACAAAAAATAAAGTAACAGTTTTAAGTAATGTTATGGCGTGTGTTTTTATGGTATGAGCACGGAAGCCTTGTCTGTCACAAGTTTACTTTTTTACCTGCATGCAGCCTTGATACAAATGTTGTAGTTTCAGATACCAGCTGGGTATTATACATTTTTCTAAAAAAAATGTGCTTCCTTTTCATTTTAATATCATGCATAGCCTGTCACGAGAGCACCTTAAAAAGGTTTTTCCCGGGTAAGTATGGCATCGAGTTGTACTTTCAGGCATCTGCCATCTATATTTTGGAGAGGCGTAGACTTTTTTTTAAAGAATTATTTGATTCTGAGAAAAAAATGTCTAGAATGGAAATGAATAAATTTAAAGAATAATTCTACTGAAAATTAGGAAAAAATATATATATTGACATTAAGTTTCTAATAAATTTTTTATTAAAACAAATCACATTTGGTGGGTTTTTTTTGGAAATATATGAAAAAAAATGTATCCTGAAAGGACGCATGCACCCCCAAAAAATGAATTAGATAGCCATTGTGCATTATATATATAAAAAAAACGTTTATTATAAACTGAGTAGTAAATACAGACAAATTGTATATATGTAATACAGTCAACTGCACCTATTATATATCCGCCACGATATCGCGGCTGTATGTGTATGACGTCACGTTATCAATATTAGTCTCGTTACGTCTCGGAAGGTGGAGGGGGATTGGGGGGGGGGGGGGGGGGGGGGGGGCACTTCAATACTTAATTGATAGAGGGTGCTGCTGGGGTTCTGTTATCCCACCCTTTTCATATAATTCATATTTTAAAAATATTACCTGTTCCCATATTGTTTGTGTTTCATGTGATGTGTAATGTAAAAGTGGAATACCAAAGTGCCAAAAAGAGAACATTGGTTGATAAAAACACAGCCGGGAACACCAAGAAAGATGACAGACGAAGAAGTTATGGGAACTTTATTGACCTTATCGTATATTTCTGATAATTTTCCCGACCTATCCACATATTTTCTATTTTCAAGCTTGAAAAGGTGACCTATTCCAGCGGCACGTCCTATCACCTTGTATAAAGTAAGCCCCCCCCCCCCCCCCACCTTTTCACGTCACTTGAAAAAAAGTCTACGTGAAGTATAAAATAAAGTGTATAAGATATGGCTTTTTCAATATAACACACTGTATAAACCCTCAACCAATATAATCCCACGAGCAGAGCTCTCGAGGATTATATTGATGTCTCAGGTAATATTCAAAAGGCAATATGATATTCTCTATTTTTCTTTACCTCGGGTTTTGAATGTAGAATGTAGGCTTTCCATGGTCAGGATAAAAATCGAGCAACATAACGTTATACAGTGGTGCACCTATACAGGTGGGACAATTGGAAAACAAACTCCCGTCTTCAAAGAGAAACACAGGTAATATTTTTAATATTCGTATTTGTCTGAGTTTTATCAATTTGTCTCTTTTGGTAAGTATCTGAACAAACATGAATTGCTAACAAACACATCGGAATTTAACTTGGAGCAATATGAGGTACAAATTTAAAGATAATATAAATCTAATATATTTCGCAAGTCTTCATCATAAGTTCATGTCACATTTTCAGTATTATTCCATCTACATGTATATGTACATCCAATTATAAGAAAAGGGCTCTTAGATATCAAGTTATGTTAATATGAATTTTAACAGAGGCGGTTCCAGACTTTCGAAAAAGGGGAGAGAGGGGGGGGGACTACATTTTTTAGTTTGTAAAGAGGGTGGGTGGGCCCATTTGCCAAAAAATCAAATCCCATTGATTATTTTAAACATTTGCAGATAGGGGCCCCGGCGCACACTTGGATCCGACTCTGGTTAACCATTTATCTTTTCCAGATATGGTTTCTTTCTATCAGGACAAACTATTTTACTATCAATTATTCATAAAACAACTGTTTTTTATCCATTTTCAACCACTTTCAAAAACAAATCCTGCTTTGTCGTGTAGTTTGGAGGACAGATTTTACTTTCACTCTGCTAGTATGGTCTCAGTTATCATCAGCGTAGCTTACCCTTTGATTCTCAGTACTGCGGCAGTGTCGGTCCGGGGTAACAGATCACCAGAAGTTATATAAAAAAAAAATATCATTTCAGCATTGACTTATTTATTAAAATTTATTTGCCAGGCCAGATTATTTATTTTCAAAACCATGCCCCGGCTCACCCCGGATAGAATAACATGATTGAAATGATAAAATCTGTGCATATTTTACTGCGTTTTGCATTTGCGCCGATCTGCATTTCACTTGTGCCGATTTTTTTCTTTCATTTGTGCCGATTATTTCTTTCATTTGCGCCGATTGTTTAACAGATGAAAACTATTTTTATTTATCATTATAAACCACTTCCGCTAGCCAGTAATACATATGTTATGAATTATCAATTAAAACATGCATATAACTGTTCCCCCTGCCCACAATGGGGAGGTGGAACTAGGATTTCGAGCAAAACAAGTCAATTTTAAGGTTAAAAGCACTCTGTTTACATCCACTAAAATAACTGAGTACAGCAATAAAATATTAAATGATATAAAATCTATTTGCAGCCTTTAACAAATCAAAGGACAATAAAACCTCTTTACGCCATGAAAAAAGCACAGCACTAAAATGCAATCAAAGTAATGAAGTACTGAACATCGGATGACCGCAGGTTCTTGTGGATGGTCAAAAGCACATGTCACAGAAATAAATCACATTTCTATACCTGAAACTGAGGTTAATTTACAGAGATATATTTTTTTTCTGATACAAGTTCGTGCATGGATGATGAATAAATGACAGGAAATTCAACCGCACCGTAATAACTATTATATTGTAGTGATACAAATCAGTATACCTGGGACTATTATACTAATATAATAATAGTCCCAGAGTATACACTGGTTTGTTGGTATATATTATATTAATATTACGGTTGCATGTATATATAATTTTCATCTATTTGTATATCATTCTATTATACTATTCTAATTATAGTGCAGTGCAAGTGCATGGTGGACACTCTTCTGTAAAAAAATCGATTTTTCTAAAAGATTTGATATTAGAAGCCATTAATATTTTCCCTCAAAACAATAACAGAGTTATCGGTCCTTGCCGGGAGTGTCGCAAAACGTTCTTGAGATATTCTTCCGTAAGCTTTAACACAATTTTTCGGTACGTGTGCATAGATATCATCAATTATTTTTTACTTTTATATATATAACTAACGACAACACATTTTCATTTTATTAATTTGTGTTTTAATAAAAATATTTATAGGAGTATCCATTGAAAAAATGAATTTGAAACAAGCGATAAGTAATGTTATTTTGCACTAGACTATAATGACCGCGGATCTATGATTTTTATAGATCGGTTGAAAACCCAAAACTAATTTGCATAATGGAAATTTAGACGATAGCAATACATCGAAATGACCTCACGGTCATCGCGATGTAAAAAGCAGCAAATGGAACTTGAAATTATTGAATTGGCGCAAATGAAACAACCAAATCGGCGCAAATGAAAGATTGAAAATTTATAAAATCGGCCCAAATGTCATACGCCCATATTTATTTTATGAATTTGATATGTTGACTGACGTTGACGCACAAAAACCGATCAAGCATCATGATCATGTTAGTTTAATAGACTTAGTTAGAAGGTATATATTTAAAACAGTAAAATGATCAAAAATGGGATGCAAGCCAGATGCAAACATACCACAAAACGTTTACTTATATATATAAACTTATTATATTAACGTAACGTCGCGTTTTTAATCTGTGGACGTCGTTTTTCACTACCAAGTAGGAAACAGGTTGACCAAAGACAAAGTCTGTGATCCCGGTCATTAATGTGGGGATGTACGGCGGGCTGTTGGACGGGCGTGCAGCTGCTACTAGCTTCTGTGCAATAACTTATGAACCTTTCTAATTACTTTCGGATAGGCATCCAAGTGGGCCGACGCAAAAATGAGGCGGCCGGTTAACCATGCTTTCGCCTTTGATAGATCTCAACCCTCTCCTATTCATCTAGCGGCAGCAGCCAATGTGAAATAAAAAAAACTTAAACAGCAATACACCTCTGCGGTAAATAAAAGTTTAAAAGAAGTCTAGAGTCCGATGATCGAATATGTAACATTGGAAACTGAGCAGAATGATTATGATCAATATACATTAACAAAGGACTACTAGTAGTTACTGACATGCCAGCTGCGGTCTCAATTAAACTGATTGAAAGATAATGTTTTGCTAATTTTTAGACTGTTTATCTTTAGAACTCGTAAAGTAACATACACAAGGACAGTCGTATGTGGCTTTTAAAACGCCATTGTTTGGTTTCTGTATACA